ACAAACACCGACTAAGGATACTCGAGGCATTATCGATCGCTCAAAACAAACCCACACTGTGCGTCCAAAAGCGTATGACCTTTACCCTCGACCTTCCCTGGCTGTAACCAATCACGTGCATCACACACACTGTACACATCCACACATGCACACACACATGGTTAATTCTAACTATAGATTTCTTAATTCGCTTCATTTGTCTATTCTGTTCGATGTTATACGTACGCGACCGATGAGAGTATACGAAAGGAATTCCTCTCGCAGTGTTTGTCTTCTGACTTGCCTGTTCAAATTCATTACGGGATCCAAATGTTTCAGTTTTCTAAAATAGTATCTGATGCAGGCAATAGATCCGAAAGTTGACTGCAAAGGTTTTCCAACTGTACCTCTAAATCCAGTTGTCTAATGTTTCATATGGGACAGCAAAAATTGGATCCTAACGATAAAACTTCAATGACCATATTATTCTAAAGTGAAGATAAAAATTTATTCACATACCGTTCTGGATCTCTGAGAAATTGTCCGTCCCAGACTTTATTGGCGGCCATTCGACACAATTTTCGCTCATTCATATAGTGTTGCATTGACTCGATCCGTCGAACGAAGGCGAGGAAACATTTCACTTCGTCTCTCTGTAAATTGTCTAGTGATTCTGCAGCAGTTACACATTTACCTTCTGAAATCCCGTGCCGCTGGTGTTTTATAACCCACCGAGGAATTCCTGGTGTATATTGGTTACAAACCGAGGATTACATAGGCAAATAGTAGAGCATACTCGGAGGAACATGCTGACTATTTGACTATTTTCGGTAAAATTCAATCACATCCTGATGAGATTAACTTTGCTTTTTACTACCTGGTGCATTGAAAACCATTGCTTTACACCTGGATGTTTGTACTTTTCAGATAGCGGAAGCCAAATCCTGAGTGGACATGAATGCAGAAATCCCCTAGGGTAATAGCAAATGCCGTTCCATGAATGAGGTTCAAAATACCAAGCGTTAAGTGGAGCAAACCTAACGCAAGTGATTTTTACACGAGTTGAGTAAATTCTTTTTGAAAGAAACGGTAATTTAACCAATTTTAAATATTCTCCTTATTCTTTTTGATTCACCTTGAAACGGAAGTTTAGGCGATAACAATATTTAATTGCAGATGAGTGGGCGCTTTTAGATCTACACCTGAAATGAGTTGTTTCAAACTGTCAGTTTGTTTTCTGAATGCGCTTTAGATGACAGATTATTGAATGATGAGAATCAACCTCCGATGCTGTAGTAACGACAATAATTTTGTTCATTTTTTTCGCATACTCTAGAGACATTCGTATCAAGTCAATCAAGTAATGCAGGTAGGAAAGATAGCGTTGTCGATCGAAGCGACGAGGTGGATGACACCAATCGAACGCAGACAAAAGAGGTACATATCAAGCGACTCTTGTATTGAAATCCTGAGCAAACACTAGAAAAAGTTAACAGCTAATTATAGAATCAGACAGGCATACAAAAGGAACAAATTAGACGCTAGATCACAACGTATTATCGCATTAAATTAAGCAGAAAGTATCTCAACATTTGAACACACATTTTCAACATTCGTTCATTGCGTTTTAGATGGTGTTTATTAGGATTATGGAATCTCGTAACTTAAAATAAGCAAACTATTTTTGCACTTACTTTCAATTGGCCAAAAATCAATATGTCACTCCCCGTGGACGCTGTGCTTATTTTTCGGTAGCATCCAAAAGTAACCAGGACAATCGAGAAATACCAGTGCAAACACTCGGCAACGGTGTTGTGTATCACACTATCTACCGTTCCGGTAGTAAATGTGAATTCGAAAGCTCAAAAATATGAGAAATATGAAAATAATTCACTAAGAACGAACATTTATCGTCCTTTCTCTATTTATGTCTGATTCCTTTGTTCAACAGATTACAACATATCGCAGTTCTAGGTGAATATGGTTTTAACTCATTCAGAAAGGGATTAATCAAAAAATCTAGCAAGGAGTCTGTGATCAACAGGGGGACAGAAAACATTCGTTATCATAGCGCTGCGATGACAATAAGCGTTAACCAATAAAAACATTATCATAAGACAAAAAGTTTAGCCATTGTGCCATTTGGTCACGGTTATTGAAGCAAATATATTGGGTTCACGTAAGTTGATAGTTAATGTTCCAACCGCACACCTCAGTTGTTTCCGTATCGGTCGACTATAAAGGTGACTATAGAGGTGATAAAATTACACTCGAGGTTAATTACTAGCGAAACTGCCTGAAAAGCCTTTCATAGTCTTCATTCCATTTCCTGCATTATATTTACTTTTACAGTGTTAACAATTATTCAGAAAATGTCGAGAGAAAACCACTCCCAACTAAAGCGGTACTTTGGTCACGTTGAAGGGGATGAGAAAAATAGCAATAACGACTAACGGCTGTTGCACGAGGTCGAGGAATGATCAGAGCCGTCATTTTCCATCGCACAGAGCGAAAGGCTCGGTTTGAAAAAGGATTATGAAATGACACAAATCTGGAGTTTCGAAAAATAAGGAAAAGCGGATATTTCAACAAAAAAATCCATTTCAGATGGAAAGCTGCTGCAGGCAAAGGTCCTCGAAAAATCGATGTAAGTAAATAGCGGTCAACCGTTAGTCATATCGCCGACTGCAATAACAGCTTCTGAACACTGGAAAATTTGTATGCTCACCATGAAAATCCAACTCGACAAGCAGTGGAAACTCACACTCACAGACCATATATAAAAACCAAGTTGTCAAAATAGTATATGTAAACGCAACAGTATGCATATGGAGTTCTTTGTTGTCTGCATCTTATTCAATGTACATTTCTAACTGTTTGTATGCAGTGTGAAATATACAAAATATTGTGTACATTTTGCCCGTCAAGTCCGAAGAATATGCACCAAAACCGACTATTCATCCACAAAGCATTTCATTTGTTCCTCGCTTGGTAATTACAGTTTGCGAGAAAGAGATGCAAGTGAATGGCGATCAACCGTTAGTCACATCGCCTATTGCAATGAAACCATCCGGATACTGGACAACTTGTCCGGTCACGGTGAAAATGCAACCGGGCAAGTCGTGGATGCTTACATTGACAGATCTCAAAGTGAGTGACGAATACTCTCAAATGCGATAAACTCAAATTACCCAAAGAATGAAGGCTTCTGATCATGAATTGTATTTTTGATGCGTGGTCATCGATTTGCACTGCATAGTGAATTATCAATTGCACTGTACGAAATAGACTTTTCTCTGCATGGATATCAACATATTTATGTGCCATTATTTGGTTCCCATCGAAGGCATCAACTATGATCGAACAGAATGTCCAATCGAAAAGAGAACGAAAATGAGCATCAGCAGTAAGTTTTCTCTTTTCCATCGACGAATCGGTTCGATGTGATGACATCACAAACCCACCGAATTTAACTGTAAAAAACATTAATTTTGACATTGAAAATAAAAATCTGATAAGCGAAACAGTCTGCTTTACGATAAATTCATCAACTGGCCATTCATATGTATATAGTTGGAGCATTTAATATTGTTTGAGCCTTTGTGCGATGGATCATATTACCCTTTGTACAAAGCAATGCTACATGCGTCAACATGTTGCTTCAGCTTCCCCTCGGAGAAAGACATCTAGAAATGGAATGCAATCGTTCGTTTCTTTTTCCATAGTAAAGCTTATGGATTGATGATCATTGTTAAAAGATGTCAGTATTCTGTACAAGAATCCAATTCCATTTCCTTTGGTAACGAGGAATATATCATCTATGTATCTGCATTACATTTTCAAATCCTCTATGATCGGTTGGAGGGTGTTGTCCTCTAGCTTACCCATGAATATATCAGCCAGAAGTGGATCCAAAGGGGAACCCATAGCAACTACATCCGTTAGTCTGTACACATGATTGTTGAAAATAAATTGTACATCAGAAGTGCGTCGAAGTAATAATCCCTTGAGAAAATTCAGTGTTACTCCAATGTCCAAATGATAATCTTTCATAAAAGTGCAAAATATTCAATAGGTTCGACTAATGGGACGTTTTTAAACAACGATGTTACCTCTAAGGAGCACATATATTGGGAAGAGATGTTTCGATCCTGGATTTGACGAACAAAATAGAAAGTGCCTCTCAAACTATGTATCAATATCTTCTTCCTGATGGAATCGAGCATTTGAGCCAGCCGTTTTGCTTTGGCGTGGAATGGTGAGTTTGTCATATCCAATATCGGCCTCAATGCTAGATTGGGTTTATGCACCTTGGGGAGTCCGTAAAGCCTTGGAATATTTGACCCTTGTGGTGTCAACTGTTAGAATGTAGTGGAACTCATATGGTTTTCTTTTCTCATCGAGTTCAGGAATTTCGTCAATTGTTATTCGATTTGTTCTGTTCGGTCCCTCCCTTTTGGTTCCCTTTGGAATTTGCAGCCGTCTGAGAGAATTACACTAATCTTGTCTATGTAGATTGTCCTTTTCAAAAGTACAACCCCTACTCCCTTATCTGGTCTGTTTGTTTTAGCTCCGTTAGCTTGCGAATATGTTGAGACGACAGTACGTTTGGGTGCTTTGTTTTGCATTTATGACAGCGTAGCGCACAGTTCACCAATGTGCTCCCCAAAACGTCGAGTGCATCGTCCGATGAAGTCAAGTCCGGGATCTGATTGTGCGAGTTTTCAAATTGCACGTTTATTTTCAGTTTGTCTGTACGGTGCCGCCGGCAGCAGAACTTTGGGCTCAAGGAGAGTCCTTCAACTGTGGTCCAGTCAAGTTGAATATCCGTAAACTTGTGAACATACTTCTCGGGTTCATTTGGGAATTGTCCGATTGGTTTATATTGGGAAATACCTTTTAACAATTTAGATCGTCTTTTCTGTGTCCGGTTGGTAGCTATCTGCTGTTTGGTGAGCTTTAAAAACAACGATTTCTCTTCTTCACTGAGCAGGTCCATTGCATACTCTCTGAGCGGCGTTCTTTTCAAATTCTGTAATGTGTGTGCGACGTGTCTAGTTGATTCAAACTGTGTCGTTTCAGTGAGCACCAGTTCACATCAATATCACGAGGACGTAGGATTTTACAATATTCTTTTGGGTACTTGTTGTATTGTATACATTCCTCGATGAAACGCGCTGTTTCATTTGCCTCTGCCAAGCGAGCGGTAAACTTTAGGTAACCATTCAGTTCCTTGAGAGCCACGGCTAATTGGGAGCTTTCAGCATGTGGAAAGAAATCCTTAGACATTAGGAATAAAAATCTGATAAGCGAAACAGTCTGCTTCACGATAAATTCATCAACTGGCCATTCATATGTATGTAGTTGGAGCATTTAATATTGTTTGAGCCTTTGTGCGATGGATCATATTACCCTTTGTACAAAGCAATGCTACGTGTGTCAACATTTTGCTTCAGCTTCCCCTTGGTTAGGATGCTCCTCCAGTTACCATGCTCGCATCGGTTGGTCTCTTGGTGACTGGCCATAGTAGTTATAATGTCTGGACGAAACGCTTCTGATTGCATAGCGGGCGGTCAAACCGTTCGATAGCAATAGCTTCAGCAGTGCATGAAAAAATGGAGCGTACACATTTGGATGATAATGGTGGAATACGATAAACGGTTCTGAACCCTGGACTTACATCGTCTTAGTGACTACTTTCTAGAAGTTGTTGGCTTATCGCGACTCACGCTGTCCTACTTTTTCCGTGTGCTGACCATCGAGGGTGATATTCGCTTATTATTTCTGACAATTGTTTTATTCTTCCGCCTATGTAGGTCGCTCCAAAGAAGCAATAAACCAAAAGGGTGAAAAACGACACTGCATGAAACGTCATAAAGTCTTTGAAAAAGAAAATAAATAATGCGTTTACTCTAACATTTTCCGCATCGGGTTTAGTGTATGCCACTGCCTCATTCACATCAGCTAAGATGAACTCATAAATTTTCGGTGGACAGATTGCAATCACAAATAGCCATTGCGACATTGGTTAATTGCAACCACTCACTACGTAACAATATTTAAAAGTAAAACATACGAAAATCAGTCTGGCAAACACTTTTACCCGATTGCGAGTTATGTTTTGCAAATCTACGTATGTCACAGACATGGTATTACCTTCCGTTAGAGCAAACAAGTTACGTAATCCAACCGCACTGGCTACTGCATCTCTGTTGAAGTACGTTTTCATTACGCTGATTAAATAAGGGTTGGTTTGTCTCCACCTATGCAGTGAGGCTCATAATCCATTGCTTTCTTTGTATCGCGAATTCTCTTTCCGTGTTAAAACAATACACATATTGGCATTCGACGCGTTCGTTTCGGCTGGACCAATCACGCAAATTGCAAGTTTTACATCCGCTATTCAACTTTGTGGCAGAGATGAACACTAGAAACCGTGTCACTCATCCATTTCACATTTTTTGTCCAACATTCTTCTGACAGAAACTGACCAGCAATGGGAGGGATTGCAACACAAACTATGCTCATGCTTCAGGTGACAGAGCATAATTGGATGCATCGACCAAGTTTTGTGCAGCAGTGACTCCTAGAGTTTTCACATCCACTTCGAAAAGCCTGTTCCTACGTTATAATATGTCCTCGCAGATGTCTGATGGATTTGCTGGTTCTGTTCGAGACCGTGACTGAATGCATGATTCTTACATTGGAGTTAAATTTTCCATAATGTTTCTCTGTGCGCTTGGCTTCTCTGACTCGTTGCTTTCGTGATATGCTATCTCGCCTGTATAATTTCACATCCTGTTTTGCCTTTTTCTCTGTAGGAATATCCTAAGCCTGGTTTTAGGTCGTGCCTCTTACGCTATTTTCATCTTCCCGTATTATTTTCCTCGAAGTGATGTGTGGCTGTATCCGCCTCAAATTCGGGCGGCAGCATCGTTGATTTTGCATGTTGGAGGTGACTTTGAACTTCGAATCAAACAGGTTGTTGTTGTTCGTTACCAGAATGTAGTGCCATCGGGAACTTTGAAGTCCAATACCTTCTTTGGTAATCAATTGATATACTACCGTCGGACGAGGAATCACACTCTTAATCAAAGTATACAGAGTCACACATTATTCAATCGGTATGCCAGAAAATTAGACAGTTAGCAGCTAATATACGGAACCTAATTTCTTGTTTATTTCGTTGGACCACATATCCCGAAATCAACGCACACACACACATTCGTTCATTGTATATGAAAAATCCAAGGGAAGAAAGCAGTAGCATATCAGCTGCACATTTGAAGCCTTCGCGCGCAACTCCAGTACAGGCAAGCAACGCATATGCAATGCAATGATCGAGTAGAACTCAACCCAGTCATACTGCTCTGCATAGATGAATTCGGATTTAGTTTAACCTCTTTTGGTATAAGCGCTGTCAACTCGATTCGTTTATCAGAACGTGAGACAGAAGCCTCCTACCATTCCCGAAGTAATAATGAAGGGTGTTGACTTAGATATGAGACTAAGGTCTCGTTCGAAGTCATAGCTGTTGCCTGAGGTTTACTGTCCGAATATGAGACAAATGTCTCGTTCCGAAACAGGGGAAGCAGGTTGCGGCTGTCGTAGAGAATGTAGTGATGCTACTTCATTCGGTATCTTGAAAAATTATTGGCACTGCCACTGTTGACCTGCTTAAGATGCCCCGTGAATAACTACCGCAGAGATGCGATATTATGTTTGAACGTGAGACTGATTTATAGTTTAGAGGCTGAAAAGGATTAGCAAAACGTCTAGTTAAACAGTTTGAGCGGAATCAATATTAGCCAATAATTGACTGTGCTCTTAACCAGCTGCCTAGATGTAGATGAAAGGTTCTGTTATTTTTTATTACGTATTCTTTACTTATTCTTTGCTCCGCCGTTTTCCATTAGGCAACTATTTCCCGTCGACCTCATTCATTTACCTCCAAATGAATTTGATAATTACTCAGCAAGAAACCTACTTTTTCTCCCGAACCGATGTAGTTTTATAACTATTTCTATTGTATTGTTTACATAAAATTTCAACGTATTTCATGGTCGTAGACAGCTGAATGGGAGCTTACTATGGCCATTATCAATAATGCTTATATTGTGTAAGTTGTTTTATTCAAAAAGGCTGCTGTTAGCGTTTTCATCGACATTTCTTTCAGCGTGATCGAAGCTAACGGTATTGATGACGCCACGTCAATCAACCAGGAGGACAATATCACGACAAGAATGAATAGAAAGGAGCGTTCTAGTGGTTTGCGTACCGAATCGCGTCAAAGATAAACGTATGAGCATGATTGTAATTCAGAACACAAAACACCTCTCCTTTCTGGTTTACGCCGGAGACAGTATGCATAAGGTTAGACAAACGTTAAATGTAATTTTAATAAAGAATTGTTCTGGTTTGACCGTAGCCCGAGCGCAATCGACTGTCCTACGGCCGACCCGTTTAGCATCGATGAGACCGTTGAGTAAGGCGTAGCGAAGTGTGAACCCCAAGGTCAAAATAATAGTTATCCGCAGTGCGCACGGTACTGTTTATTTCATTAGGCGAGTCACAGAACAGCGTATATCTAAAATGCGACTCAGTTGCTACACAGCCAAAAAGTGGGTTTAAACAAATGGATAGACACCTGAAATAAGGGTAAGCAAATACATATGCAAAGTCGGAACACAAATACCTGTTTGTTCGAGCAAGAGACTCTGTACATCTAACGTGAACCACCACCGATCGGAGTCAGCTATGCACTTGCAAAGAGCAAGACAACGAATAAGACAAAAGTTGCAGTGACGGGGCAAATAGGGACTAGGGTAGTGACACAACAAGGCCGCGTAAGTGCAATTATTGGACCAAGGACCGGTGGCAACGCGCGGGATCACGCGGTGGACAAGGTCAAATCAGGAATGACGAAAGAAACAAAAGGACATAGGATCGAAAAAGGATTAATTGAGAAGGGAACCATAGTCCGTTCCCCTTAGGGTCACAAGAGGGGTTTTCTTCATCCTGTGCTGTCTACATTGAACATATGTCTATTAACCGATGCTCCCCCCCCGATCTATTGGGCAACAGCATTTCTAAACATCCCTAATCTACACCTTTTAAATTTCAAGTGAATCCGTTGTAACTTCAAGTGAATCTGTTGTAAATTCAAGTGAATCCAACCAATCGCACTCCATTTTGAACCCCACAAGGTGACTGATGTTTCGGCCGCCAAACGTCACCGATTGGACCGTGTCTGTCTAAATCCCGTCCAGTCCGAATGAACTCACTTCCCCGTAAACAAAGAAAAGTACTTTTCGAATGAGTTACCGAGCAACGGTGAACGTTTTCGTGGGGTGGGTGGGGTGGGCTGTTCATATCCCCGCCCCCGCCCCACCCGGGAACCTTATGTCAGCGATAGTTGATCGGGTGTGCGTCATAGACGCCAATAAACAAACCCGGCGGTAATTGACCTCTGTCGGCCGGATAACGAAGCGAATCACGTCAAGATGGATCTATCATGATGGATTGATCATCATGCCTAGACGTGAATATTGGGATAAACCGTCGCATGAGTGGATTGAGCCTAGGTCCTTAGTATCCTAGTGAGTGAATTCCATTGGGGCAGTGATTTCTTCAACTAACACTGATTCCTTTGAATCAAATGCGATTTAATACGTATTTATGACATTGAAATGCACACTTGACAATATATTCA